GTAAACACAAGAAAATCACTCAGCAGGCAAAACACTGCTGTAAGGGAAAGGGGAAGAGAGTAGAGCTACATGCAGGGAGTTCCCACAAGGTGTTTGGCTTCATGTTTTGCTGAATGTGGGAGATGCCAGATCTTCAGTCAGAGTCAGAGCTGCTGCTTGAGCTACTGGAGTGCTGGAGGAGAGAAAACAACTTTAGGGCACCAGCGAAAAGACTCTTTCACAGCATTCCTGAGATGTGTTAGTGACCCTGTCGTGGGTGCCCCATATTGTGGGAGGCTTGGGGGGTGTTTCTTAGTTTTTTTCAAGGCTCTTTAGGTCAATAAAGCAAATTCCAGAAGGGTCATGCTCTCTGCAAGCAAGGGCAAACGTCAGAGCAGATCACGGGCAGAGCTGTTACCCAGTGGAAGGAGCTGATGGCTTGATTTGTTTGGGAAATGCGCCCGCCTCCAATGTCGGAACTGGGAGTGTGTTTAGCAGTCCCTCACTCAGACCTGCTCTGGATGGTGCCTATCTCTATAACAGCCTTTTCTGCAGAATCTACTCCTAGCACAGGGAATTGCTTCTCCTCTTTCAGTTTTGTTTCTTTTGCTTGTTTTGTTTTGTTTTGTTTTTTAATTTCTTTGGGTTTTGGGTTGTTTGTTGTTTTTTCTTTAAGAAGGAACTGAACAGTTCCTCTAGCAAGACACTGAGTGAATGTCCATTACAGAGACACCACTCACCCTCAGATGAGCAGGACAAGTCCTGTGATTTAATGCACTGCAAGGTGCACCCTGAGCCATATCAATGCTTTAAAAGCCTTCAAGGAATTTCATGGACTGTTTTTCAAATTACTCACTTAATATGGTTTGTTCTTGCCTATTTATTAATACAACAGGAGTTTCCATGTCTAAAAAAAAGCCACTGAGGTTTTGGCAGCGCGCTCCAGCCACCACAGCGTGGGAGAGGAGAGTCCTAGCTGTCCAGGCTGGATGCTGTGGTGTGCGGGAAGGGGGCCTGAAGGACCACAGCAGAAAATCAGAAGGGTCTATTGTCACCTCACTCTTACCTTGTCTCCATGGTGCTTGGAGTGCTTGTCCTTATGGTGCTTCTTATGTTACTTCTAATGGCAGTGAGGTGGTCCTGGATGGGGGTGCCCATGGGGGTGATGCCCATGGGGGTGGTGCCCATGGGGGTGATGCCCATGGGGGTGATGCCCATGGGGGTGGTGCCCATGGGGGTGGTGCCCATGGGGGTGGTGCCCATGGCCAGGTGGAGGGGGGCAGAAAGCAGGACCACCAGGGTAGGGACCTGTGACAAGACCATGGTGTCCTGGAGGACCAGGAGGGCAAACTGGATGGTGTGGTCGTGGCATGCCTAGGAAGAAGAGGAGAGCTGTTAGCAGGCAGACACAGGCTCTCCCTGGACAGACAATGCAGGGAGCTGGTGTATCCATGCACCCAAAGGGCCCCTCCCAGTCTACCTCTTCCTCACAAATGACATCCCACACCCCTCTGGTATGCAGGGAATACCCCCAGGTGCCTGTGGCCATTGCCCTGAGCTCCTCTCTGAGCCCTGATGGCTGTGTGGTACCCACAGCCCTGACTGGCCCCATGGTCGCTCACCGTGGTGGGGGTCACACATCCTCAGTGGTTTGTGAGCTGAAAGGGAAGGACAAGCACCATCAGTCACCTCCTGCCACAGGGACGTCATTGCCCGGCCCAGAGCTGGGACCTGACTCCTCTGTCCCACACATCTGCCCTGGGAGCAGAGACCACGCTCGCTTCCCCAGGACTGCCATCCCCCTGCACACCTCGACGACAGCCCTCCTGTCCCTCTGGGGGACAGCACCAACCCCCAGAGCCACTGTCCCCACCTCCAGGCACACCCAAAGCCCAGCTTGTGGTTTCCATCGTTAATGGCAATAACAAACCCGGGTGCCCAGCTCATGTCCTCATGGACC